AAACACAAGAGGCAGCTGAACTGACAACTAATTGCAACATAAATACATAAAGAAGTCGTCGTCTGCGAGACCACTTCATCCCTGTTACATTTCTACTTTCCTTACTTGATGAAATACTCCCTGCACAAACGTAGCCCTACTGAACATGCATGGTGCATGTGAATTGAATCCGTTGACAGAAATTGTACACAGGTGCCTGAAAAAGTTCGATTAGAAAAACATAAAATGTAAATAAATTTTCTTCCCGCATCCCATTTGTTGTAAGAAATTAATCAAACTATGTATATCAATTTATTGCGGCCTTACCTTCACAAGCTCGGCATGCTAATACTGGAAATAAACCCCCATTCACAGCCCTGGGTACGTGCATTGCTTCGAGTTTGGCTTAACACGACGTTGAACAGTATTTATCTTTCAGTTATATCACGGCCTGTCAGCTCGATATAGGATGAAACCCACCAACATAGGTTTCTAGCGCGCTCAAGGGACGCAACTCCGTTTGGACGCCTCAGACGACTGAGCTACTCATGATCCCGGTTCAAGATGACTGAATAGGTAATTGGCAGAAAAACGCGAGATCGCAAGATTTGTCAAGTGTCACAATCTTGCGTTCTCCCATTCTCGTGTTTTTGAAAATCATTACCTAGAACTGTATGGGCAGTTGGCACAAACGCATGAGAATGCAAGAACGTGAGATCGTGAGATTTGTGAAACTTCGCAATCAAACGTTTTTGAAACTCGTTACATAGAACTGTATGGGTAACTGACACAAAAGCGCGAGAACGTGAGATCGCATGATTTGTCAAATGTCGCGTTCTCGTGCTTTTGTGCCAATTCCCCATGCAGTTCTATGTAACGATTTTCAAAAGCACGAGAACATGAGAATGCGTACAGCAGTACATCGCCATCAGCAAAATCAACCTCAAATGTCAGATTTTGTCCAACAACCTTGGCACTCTTAAAATAGTTGTGGAATTCCTTGCTTTCATCATCATATTATTATTATCTTTTACAGATTAAAGACAATATGCAGCAGAGAGGGTTCGGGTGATCCTGGCACAGTCAGGCTGGTAAGGCTCATCATCAGCTCAGGGCCCTCGCACCCTCTACACGCAGCGCCGACAGCGAATGGGACTTCTCCCAGGAAACACTACCTAGTCGAACCCACCAAGAACTTTCCGGATAATATGAAGGCTCCCCAACACTGCAGCCTTCTGCATTACCCAGAGTGTCAGAAGGGCTGTGCTCACGGTGGAGAACCCGGGCACTCTCCTGATCTGCGCCAAGAGATCAAGAGGTACCAAACCAAGGGCACCGAGAACAATGGGGAGCCTGACGACAGTGTATTTGGGATGCAAGCGAGACATTTCAAAGGCGAGGTCCACATACTTAGTATGCTTTTCCTGAATCTTGCCAATCACATTGGTGTCAAAAGGGACCGAAAATTCAATGATATATATAAATTCATAGGCTTTATCAAAAAGCACAAGATCAGGTTTGTTTGCTGGAATTCTCCTCAGGCTGTATATGGGCCTATTCCACAAAAGTTTGAAAGCATCATTTTCCATGAGAGCACCAAACGAAACTGTTTCTCTGAGATTTTGCTATTGGTGAGACCGGTGTTGAGCTTTGTTGAGCTTTGCTTCGGCCAGAATTCTAATGTCATCGTTTTTCAACGCTTTACGCTGCAGTCTGCGAGATATGTACTTCAGGGCCAAACCCACCAACCCTGCCACTCTCGCTTTTATTTCGATGCCTAGCACCACGGGTGCAACAACGACGGTTGATAACAGCCTGCCACCTGCCGCGCCTAATCCCATGCCAGCTGCCATAATGCAGTGTCGACACCATCCATAGAATTTTTTTCTGCAATGCCGACCATGTATCGCGTTCAGGGTCTACTTGTTGTATGATGTCGCATAACTGTTGCAAACGAAACCCAGTGTTTTTGTCACGTCATCCACAACCGCGTACAGTCCCATCCTGTATATATGCCTTTCATAAAGGGTATTTAATTGGTCATCCGTCAATAAATGATGAATAGACTTTAAGCTGATGAGGTATAAGTGTTTGTATGTAAAATTTGTATATAAATTTACTGTTACGCGGACCTGTGGAGAACCGAGAATGAATGTGTTGGCACGTTGTATCAAGGACTTTGTTGGGATAACTGCCGTGCGAACGACCTACGTTTGGGAAGGTTTATGCACAAGAAAATCTCATTGTGATAGTAGCAGGGGACAAAGCCATCGCTGAGGGGTACGGGAACTTGTTTTGCATTCCGCTCGAGTTCGAGCTGCTCCATGGGCACATGCCATTTTATCAGGCCGCACTGGGTGACCGGCTGGAATACAAACTCATGTTCAACGACTACAGCTAGAATTCGCAAGCAGTACTCAGGAAAGCTGTCCATTCTGTACGATCACATGCTGCGGCACCGGACGATTGTCAAGGACAAGAACGACATGTTGTGGAACATCAAAATGAACGTGAAAGCTCGATCAATGAAAGGCTTTTAGTCATTCCCATGGAGGAATATGAGCCGTTCAAAGAAACAGCGAATTCACTTGGAATCCCGAGATCACAAAAGTTGAAGTGACCATCGAGGGCGTGCCCAACCAGCTGTTCATTCAGGGCATGCGAGCTCACCAGCAGTGGGACGAGATAAACAAACTACCAGCCATCCAGCAGCACATGCCAGAAGTCAACCACATCATCAAAAAACTGGGTCTATCCTACGTATTGTTCTGTATTTACCTGGATAACCATTACGCACTGTAGCTGGACATGCGATCAACTACAATGACAGCAACTCAATATAGACAATGGACGATTCGTGCAGGTCCTTTTTTGATTTACCGCGTGATCCGCACTGCGTGATTGTGTATGGTCAGATTTGGTGCAGCAAGATGGCATTCATGCTGGACATGCTGGAAGGCTACTATCGTGACGTGTTCGACCATGTCATCATTCTCTGCTCCACTTTACGGGTGAACAAGACGTACACAGAAAGAGCGCGGATGATGAAGAACCTGGACGTGCACAGAGTCGATCCGGGAATTCGTCTGCAGGACTGGTTACACGCTAACCATGACAAGTTGAAAGGAGAATCGACGCTGTTCATCCTGGGTGACTGCAGCACCAACAAGGAAATCGTGAAAAAGAGAGACGAGCTGACATACCTGGCCTTTTTGGGCCGACACACAAAACGCAAAAAACGCAAGAACACGAAACCTGTGGGTTGGGGTATGTGGTTCGTTTGATGTGACGGGAAAACGAACGATCCCGTGGTCTTCCAAGGTCCCAATGCGGCCGAAACATTTCTCACGTCCCTGCAACACAAAGAGAGAAAAATCAGGGAAGCTTTGTCAGACTCTGTCCCTATGGATATGACACCAGAGGATGAGCTTGCTCTTAAGAAGGCTAGGAATTGCCACTTGTGCAACGAACCTATGTGCGATGACGATGGAGAAATTGAGAAAACGTGTTAACATGAAGCTAGTCAGATCCAGTGAGGAAGAAAAACTCAGGAAACTTATAGCCAGCCCGGCATTCAACAGGAGCAAGCTAATCAACGATTTGGCAGCGCTGCACATGAACAAAAGCCACATCAAATTCAACCAGCCCATTTACGTGGGGATAGGCATCCTCGACTTATCCAAACACTTGATGTACGATTTCAGCTGCAATGAGCTGAAGAAGCAGTACGGCGACAGTACTGTACACGGACATGGATTCCTTGCTGATGGAAATTCACACTGAGGACGTGTACGAGGACATGTAGAAAAACACGCATCTGTACACCAGCAACAACCCTAAAGATCACCCTATGCACGACACCATAAACAAAAAAGTGCTCGGCTCATTGTGTGTGCATATATAGAGATGTTGGGTTTTGTATAAACATGCTCATTTTTTGTGTATAACAAATCAACAGACATATTTTGTGTATAACATTTTGCATAATCAGACAGACATGCGTTTTGTTTATGGTGTATAGCCTGACAGGTTAGAAATTCTGTCAACAATAGCATGACAGGCAGCAGACACATAGGTGTTACATTGAGTTTTGTCTGCGATCGAACTGCACAGTTAGAAGTGACTCGGTAAGAAGAACGTGTGGTGAAATAGACAAATGAAATTATACAAACAGTTAAATCGGTAATCTACTGTCATAATATATAAACAGCTCGCGCCTGTGAAATATCAACAAAACATTAGAAAAATAGCTCACACCAAAGCCTTCACCGAGTATTCACCAGACAACCCGCTTCCAAGCTGCGTGAACCTATTCACTGCGCATGTGCTATGAGCGCAGCCCAGCTGTTGAAACCACTTTTCCCCCAAGCGCTGGGGGGAAATTAGTGAATCTTTTGAACTTCGATTTCGGGCGGTTTTTATCGCGTTATTTTTCAACTTTATAAGCTGAAATTGCATTTTTGATGATTTGTTTCGGTAAGTCCATACCGAAAGGTATCAGAATCAGCAAAGTTGTGTTTTACGTTGCATGTACCTTTAAGTTTATATATGAGTATCACATTTTAGGGTGTTCCCATACTTTTTTGTTTTGTTTGAAGAATATTAACCGAGGTGATGACAGCACTTTAAGACATTGGCCATTAAAAGGATCCAAGCCAATCAAATCACTTTGATTTGATTCGATTTTCATGGAAACAATAACAACCAAACTACTTGCATTACACAATTTGTATTAATAACATCGTCTTCATTAAGATGTGTTCATAGATCCTGTTATTCTGAGCTTGCAACCAAATGCGGCGCATCATTAGTCATGTCTAAATGAAGTAAATATTGATTATCTGTTCAAAATCTTCACAGAGCCAGAAGCCCCAATTAAACGTAGAAGCCAATTTGTATACAAGCCATCGTATGTGTTCCGCTTTACCCATTACAGTGCATGACTGTAATGTTAAACATTGGTTGTTGTCAATGCACCCGACCCAATCTTGCCCTGCTGATAGTGATAATAATACATTCAGAAACCACCAGGAGACGAGTGAAGGATGTTGCTGTCTATCCCAGAGCTGGTGTTCACCTTGAGTTGTATATTGATGCAAGGTACGTAGAACATTAAGTCACTAGTCACGATCTGGTTGAAATTTTGGCGACATCAAGTATTTGAATTTTTACTCCCTTATTAAATGGAAAATCTAATCCATGTTTAGAAGTAAGAAAACAAATGCATGTGTGTATGTGTGTGTGTGCGCGCACGTATATGTGCGTCAGCATGGCGTGTTTGCGCTTGTGTTCACGTGTGTCTGTTTGAGGAAGGATTTGTTTGTTTGTCGCACTGAGCAGTGTATGATCGTGTTTGAACAGCGATTTACGACTTACGCAGTCGGGATACACTGACATGTATCAACCTAGTCAGGTACATCGGCCATTCGATCCCTTCAGTCGTCTTTAGGTCAAGCCTGGGTTGCTGAAGACCAATTATTTATTACGACTTTATTTATTATTTTTATACTCGTCACGATACGGCTGCAATATTGCCAATGTGACGTTAAATTCTAACTCACTCAATAACAAACCTACTGCACTGAGGAAGGACGGGGCATCACCATGTTATTCTATCCTTGTCTTCCCTGTCAAATCCGCAACTGGCCTAAGCTATATGTCACCAAGAGTTGAACTCATCAATGTTGGTTATTACAGTTAAGGTGCATGTGTTATTACTCGTCTTTCTAGCTATGCACACATTATAACAATTGCATTCCAGGAGGTCGGCTACACGTCAAGGCAGAAAATATCATGCTCAACAAATTAAGTATCCTAAGCACCACTTACACTTCCTACCCCAATCATGGAGGCAGTGGTGGTGTTGCTTACCACTCTCCCTATGCCAATGATGGAAGCCAGAACAATTGGCCAGCGAGAAGTAATTATCAGAAAGGCCCGTTCTGGCAGGGAGACCTGCAAGGTTTCTACATCGTACACAACATCTCTGTCATAAGTGACACCTTTGGTTATGGTGAGCCATTATTCGTGGTAATAAGCAGATTACCACATTCTATTTTAACAGGAATCGCATTTACCAAGAAAAGATGACCGTTACCTATACATTTCACAACACCCCAATAAACTTTACTTCTGTAGACGACCAAGATCCTTTAAATACATTGAGAATACATCAATAATGTATTATCGTATAGAACACATAGCAAGTAGCAGACTGTCTATTTCATGTTTGAACATTTTACCTGTGCCTCTTTGTGTCAAGGTTTTAAACAGCCTGTCGGAAACGGTACTAATCTATTGAGTCAGGTATACAGTTTTACTGCAGACACAAGTATTATCCCTTAAATGTTTCAGCTCCAGAGCTCCGTGGTGCATACATTGGTGTATCGTCAGTAGACGTTGGTTGCCCGGATGATGACGTGATCTGGTGTGGTCAATGGCCGCCAGATACGTTAACCGGAGTAACCTTGACCTTCAACTGTACCCATGAGCAGCCTGTGAGATTTGTGAGGGTATGGAGAAACATCACAGGCTACCTGGCTGTACAGGAAGTGGAGGTGGAGGGCACTCCAAGAAGAAAAAACGGTAAGTATTTGATATTTACAGTTCATCCTCCTGTTATCACACGCATTAAAATCATATGATGTAAAATGACACTTGCTACCCACATACGCACCCAACGGTATTTATGCTCATCCCAGATGTTTTCTTCCATTGTATGTGAGAATCAATGTTACAGTGCTTCAAAACACCAACCACTTCTGCTGTTTATCTCCTTCATTCTAGAATATTTCTACTTTCTGTATTTTAGCTGCTAAGTACGACAAGAGTCTGAACAAGAAGCTGACCACACCCGCGACCTCAGTGAAAGCCATATCAGCCAATGACTGTGGTATCCAGTGTCACAAGACCCAACCTTGCCTCGGTTTCAGCTACAATCCATCTGGCGATCCACCCTGTCTCTTGGCACCATCTACAGCAACGACAACAGCCACCGGCTGGGTTAGCTACGCCATATCTACCTGCTCCCACAACATCACGTGTGATCTGACAGATCAGTTCAAATAATGGGGGTTATTTACGTGAGTCTGCAGTGCCAGTATCTAAGAGTCTATCACAATATATCAGTACATTCTGGTAGAACTGTAGGAAAGATCTGTCTGTCAAAGTAGAAATATCGATTCACAAATAGACGTAATGCCATGTAATATATGATTTCAGAAAGCACAGACTTTACTATCCTACAAATTAGTCTCGTAAATGCTTTCGGAGGAAAGCATTCATTCAATCACACTCCCAGACAAAGTGCCATAAGAAGAAAAACAGATGCGTAATGTTTGTGAAAAATCACGTCAACACCTTCTCTTCTAATGATACTTCAATTTCACATCCTTTTTACCAATGACAAGTGATATTTCTTCAACAGAGAGGATTTCGACCAAACTGAGTTGTTTGGGGCTGTTATGCAAACATTTGGAACAATACAGCTGAAAGTGTTACAATAATATCCTACTCTTACATTCTATAACCCTGCAGTAAGGGACTGCAAACATCCTTGTAAAGTAAACTAGCTGACTGAGTGAAGCTGAATTTTACATGATGTTTCTCGACGTGATGACATCTTGTTTTGTTTCTTATGGATTTCATGGTGATACTTTAAAACATTTTAATATACCATGTCCTCCCTATAAGGACTACTTGGTTTAAGAGTATACATTTAATTGTTGGTTATAAGTTCATTTGGAAACATTGTTTTTCATGTGTGCTGATGTATTTGACCTTCTTGTTTGTTATTGGCAATTGAGCCATGTTGGCTGTCTTTGTCCTGTCTTTCTTCATATAGTGCTGTAATTATAGAAGGTTCTGTAGATACATTATCTTGATGTGTCTGAAGAATCAAAACGTTTAAATATTTAATCTTAATTACGAAACTAGGCAGATCATGACACCGATTCTTCTTTGTCTCCATATTTATTCTGTATTGATAACACCTTTTTATTCACATACCAGTTTAACATTCGATATTTTGAACCAAACTTCTTGTTTACTGAATATGCCAACGTCTCAATGACGCTCCTGACACAAGCTGAAGTGATGATGACGTCAACTATGTAATACACAAGAAGCTATCATCCATAAAATTAATATTTTTTTTCTTGAATGGCAAAACATAGTTTGAAAATATATTCATTACATTTGTTGAAGGATTTGATTTTATGAGTGTGTATTTTTGTATGTGTTTTTTTCTAATATGTATTTGCAAACCCCAATACCCAACTTTCAATAATATAACTAATATCCGTGAATGTACATTTACTAACATATGGCTTATTGAGTAGAATAGGCCTTGGCAAAGAATTAGCATTCCTACCATTAATTAACTTTTCATGACAATTGCTGAAGAGCCATTAGTTTGATTTATTGTATTTGTGTCACTTTGTATGGACTTTACTTTGGAAGCCGTCAGTGTAACTGTAACCTGTAGACTCAGTAATGCTACATTCACTTTGCTTCAATGTTTCACATGGCTCTCAGTCTGTATTCAATCCTTGTTTTCTTTTTTATTTAGTCAAATAAAACGTTACGCTGTATCGCATGGACTCTCAGTTAGACTTTCAGTTGGACTCTCAGTCAGACTTTCAGTTGGACGCATGGCTACTTCCTGCGTGCGTACGTACAAGTGAACAATTTAAGCTGTTAAAATATTCTCAGGTGAATACCTTTGAATCCAAGATCTTCAAGATAACATTAAATTCAAAATTGTAGTACAATATTCTTCCGTTAGTTCAGTTCAACAACTAAACATTGAACTAATTCATATACAGGCAGGGTGTCCCGGTGAACTACATGATCGTGAAAGGCTTTGCATGTTATTCTGAGTGGTAAATAGCAGCTCCATAGCAGAACCATCATGGCGGAGGCACGCGTGTCGGTTGTATAGACAAGTTACTGGTTGGCCATCGGGGGCGTGTCGATTTCCAAAACTGAAGGTCGAAGTTCAGCCTTGAAACCTGCAACAGAGCCTAACAGTGATTCAGTGAACTGAAGGTTTAGGTTTATCTTCATAAATGACAACACATGGGGTCAAAATGTGGGACAGCAGCAACAAATAGAGATATATCGAGCATGTGCGTCCTACTTTTTGTCACAAATGAGGACCTTCACCAGCCAGAGCAAGAGAGCAACATGCGAAAGTAATGTCTTTGATACCCATTATATCATTATTATCTTTAAGTTTGAGTCCTTTAGAATGAACTGTTATGACCGCCTTGTTGTATTAGAAAACCACAATGTTCGAAATTATACGGTTCTATACCGGAATTACGTCACAATACGATTCGAAGGCGTCATCAGTGCCGTCCGGATGACGAACAAACAGTGGTGCACTTGGGGTGATATTTGCGACAAATCCACAGAATTTATGTACTCTGTTATTCCTGCGAAGATCAATGATTATGTTGAGAGACGCAGGATTCGGAATGCAATAGCAAAACGGCAAAACGTTTGTTAAGTCATGTATACTACCGTTCTAAATAGGACTAAATCACAGCTATGTCACATCAGTCGGAATGGTAGACACAACGCGTGACGAGCCACAGAATGACTGCACAACTGCTTCTCATTGATGGCGTCAACGTTGTTGAACCAAACCTCCCCATGGTGTCCTAGACAACCTCCCGAGCAACACAACCTCCCCATGGTGCCCTACACAACCTCCCGAGCAACACAACCTCCCCATGGTGCCCTACCAGCAACATAACATCCGAATGGTACCCTATCAACAACACAACTTCCCCATGGTGTGCATTCAGCAACACAAACTCCCCATGGTGCCCTATCAGCAACACAACCTCCCCATGGCGCCCAATCAGCAGCACAACCTCCCCATGGTGCCCTATCAGCAACACAACTCCCCCCATGGTACCCTATCAACAACACAACCTTCCCATGGTGCCCTATCAGCAACACAACCTCCCAATGGTGCCCAACACAACCTCCCCATGGTGCCCTATCACAACAACCTCCCCATGGTGCCCTATCAGCAACACAACCTCCCCATGGTGCCCTATCAGCAACACAACCTCCCCATGGTGCCCTATCAGCAACACAACCTCCCCATGGTGCCCTATCAGCAACACAACCTCCCCCATGGTGCCCCATGGTCCCCATGGTGCCCTATCCCCATGGTGCCCAATCAGCAACAACCTCCCCATGGTGCCCTATCAGCAACACAACACATCAGTAACCTCCCCATGGTGCAACACAACCTCCCCCTATCAGCAACACAACCTCTCCCATGGTGCCCTATCAGCAACACAACCTCCCCATGGCGCCCAATCAGCAGCACAACCTCCCCATGGTGCCCTATCAGCAACACAACCTCCCCATGGTACCCTATCAGCAACACAACCTCCCCATGGTGCCCTATCAGCAACACAACCTCCCCATGGTGCCCTATCAGCAACACAACCTCTCCATGGTGTGCATTCAGCAACACAACCTCCCCATGGTGCCCTATCAGCAACATAACCTCCCCATGGTACCCTATCAGCAACACAACTCCCCACGATGCCCTATCAGCAACACAACCCCCATGGTGCCCTACCTACCTATCAGCAACACAACCTCCCCATCGTGCCCTATCAGAACCTCCCCGTGGTGCCCTATCAGTAACATAACCTCCGAACTTGCCCTACCATGGTGTGCATTCTATCAACAATACAACTTCCCCATGGTGTACATTCAGCAACACAAACTCCCCATGAAGCCCTATCAGTAACACAACTCCCCACCGTGCCCTTTGCTCATCACAAACGTCCCTATGGTGACCCTCAGCAGCAAAACCTCCCCACGGTTCCCTGTCAGCAACACACAATTATCCTACGCCCAGAAGGGAACAACTAGCCTTGAACCTTGAACTATGAACCTCCAACTGTCGACCCGGATGCAACAGGGAGCAAGGTCAAGCTCCTTACATTCACCTCTCTGGTATGAAGAAGGTAACGTGCGTGTCAAACGCTTGGGTAGACTTTGCACCATAGGCAACTGCAAGATGAATGTCATTATTGTACGGTCTCTTCGTTCATTATTTTTCGCCTACACTGGGGACAACTGAATTTAACAAAGGTTTCCATCAGATAATATGTAAACATCAGTCATCTGAACGACACCTATCAAGATCGTCACACACAAGATACAGATTTCCCAAACTGTTTCTTGTGATAATTATCCTCCTCGTTATGCTACCGCATGAAGTTTGGTAGGAAGTATACGAATTATCAAATATCATAAGTTATACACTGGATTTGTATTAATATTATGTATGAGGAAATGTCTCTTTTTCGACAATGTTATCATCACACTTTGATGCAATATAATGCGTTATCTATATTTGAACATTAGGAGCTATCTGCCTTGCATGCATTCTCTCCCAACAGAGGCTATTCCCGCGTAACCTCTGTTATAATAAGGCCATATTTCCCGATTCTCGTAAAATCCCAAGGCGGCAAAAACTCGCAACACAATTTATTTCCATTCTTTCTATCAAATCAGAACACATGTTACATCGACTTAGATCCAATATGGCGGCCGCCATGGAGTTAGTTCTGTCTAGAAGAAACGTTTGCGCATCGCTCAGGGGAAGACTTTCTAGTTTTCCCGAAGCATACGGAAATAATCGAGGCTTTGCGAATGATCACTTTTGAAAGAACTAAATCTGATTGCAACCAATCACGAATCCTGAACACTCGCACCATGAAAGGGACGTATTAGAACAGAGGTTACGCGGGAAGATATGACTTGAGTAACCTTTGTGGGAAGAGAATGCCTTGCATGAGACTATATTGTATAATATAGTGGTCTTTTATCTTCTCCGCAATTGTATAACATTTGCACTTCATCTATATATACATGCCCAGATTCCGACAAACTACTATACGTTAATACGTCCAAATAGGGGTCTGCGTTGAAGACAACATACGATAAATAATATCCCTACAATAAACATGTGAACAGGTGTGATGGAAGAGGGAACAAACACATAAAAATGTAGTGCTAACATTTATTGTTTTATTTTCTGTAATGCATAGGTTTCACCATTTCCTGGTGGCATTTTAAGTAAATTTTATGCTGTTAGAACAAATTTAAACATGGTCATCTGTTAAAAATGACTTAATTGCGGTGGCCATCTTTGTTTACAGCTGAGGGAGATGAAAGTAGTCCGAAAATATTGACCAATCAGGAATTGTTGAAAAGTTACCAAAATGATACCTCCTAGGATATATGAAGTGATTTCCTCTATATGATGTGAAGCTGAATCATCAACAAGAGGTAGAAGCATGATGTCTGTAATATCCTGATGTATGTAACTCATAATTACTCAGTGGGTACATTGGCTGCATGAAACAAAGATGTTTAGAACATACTGATTATAGAAGGAATACTATCTACAGTTACATAGTTTGCCTGGTATTCAGACCAGAGTTCATTTACATCCATTCTAAATGTTTTACTGTAAGACAAGTAAATGCTTTCCACATATATTTAATCATTCACCTGAAGAAAGGACAAGGAAAAGCCCAGATACGTTGTGTATACAATGGAAGGAAGTTGGCAGCCATACTATTTTGTCTTACACACACATATTCAATGCTTAATATTCTGTGTGCTCTTTTGGGTGTGCCTGATTACCAGATTTGCATGATGAAATAGTCATTCCAATATTCCAAGATTCCGGATATACGACAGTGTCAAGGTAATCTTAAACATACTACAAGCAAATCACTTTAGAATTTATAACACCAACGTGGTAATCCAGCAGCCTTTCCATTTTTATGGCTTAAGAAAACTCTCTGTCTGGAACTTCTCCGATAAAAGATCACCAGTGAAAGACAATTCGTTACCATGCTCACAGGTATGAGAATCTATCAAGTCCTTTACAAAACAAAGTTTGACTCAGCAACAGCAACTAGATTCAACAGGTTTCGGAAATACATGGGTATCAAGTGTTATTGTATTCAGTGGAGACCCACGATGTAAAGCTGTTTCAAGCTATTCCAGAACGTTTTAAATCCCCATATACAGCTTCCATAATATCTCCACTCAGTTTAATGTCACAGGCATGTTTCTTCTACACACAGTTCCTCTCAGATGACTGGACATATTTTTTTATATAGATAACTTAATGGGATATGGACGGAATCAGAACTCGGAAGAACTGTCATGAAATAGTCTATTATACTACAACCTGTGAGACGAAAGTAAAGTTGGTATATCTGATTTTGTCCTCCAATTTACAAACTATACATTGAGCAGTTTGCACAAATCAGGAAGATCCAGACCAACAACGTACATTACACATGTGGACTGGCTTGACTCCGATTGAACATACATGGGAGATCCTTGGGTGACTGGTTGATGACCGCACTATTCAGTCCCAGGCTCTGGGTCGACTCGATCTGGCCTTTGTTCGAAGGGCAACATATTCTCCAGCAGCAACAGGAGGTATGTATGTATGTATGTATGTGTGTGTGTGTGTATGTATATGTGTGTGTGTATGTATGTGTATATATGTTTGTATGTATGTTTGTTGCATGTATGTATGCATACCTGTACTGTACTTGTTTAGTTAACTTAAAATGTAAACGTTCGTCTGTTTGTACATACTGTATGTTTATAATGTTTTTATTAGTTTTAGTAGTCTCTCAGAACGTAACGGGTGGTATCTGTACTTATAAACTTCACCATGGTTGACCTGGGACGTCCGCTCGTTCGTTTGCCTTGTGGGTTCCACTGTAGAGCTTTTCGGGTGGTGTTTTCTGGGTCTTATCGTGGGGTGTCCCCAATCCATGTCCATTTTCTAGCAGGAGGTGGTAGCTGTTCTGTTCTTTTTTTAGCTGTTCTGTTCTTTTTTTAGCTGTTCTGTTCTTTGCCAAAGTTCTTGGCCAACAGATTCTGATGACCTTGTGCAGTGAGTTGTTGACGAAGGACTGGATCATCTTTTCTGACCAGACTTGTGCGCCAAGTTTCAGCTCCGTAAAACAACATCTTTCAAGTTGGGAGTTGAAAATTCGCATTTTCGTCGTCATCTTGATGTTCTTGGCATTCCATGCTCTTCTAAGCAGGTTGAAGGCGGTTCTTGCTTTGCCTATTCGGACTTTGATGTCTTGGTCTGTGCCACCAGTTGTTCCCACTACACTTCCTAGATATGGGAATGATGGAAATATTGGAAGAATTAACCTAAGTACCAGTTTCAAATGTAGTGTGCTTTCCTAATTATGCATTTTGGCAGACATCTAGACGTTTTCGCTTCCCTGTGAGAAAATCTGCTTGAGAGAGTTGGCATGTGAATCCGCTTCAAATTCATGTTTTAGTTTTTTCCTTTGATATGAACATGGATTCACCTATGTTATTTTGTTTCATTCAGACAAAAAAACTCAACAAACTCTAAACGGATACTCACAATGAAGCTTGTCCAAGCCGTTCTGATACTAGCTGTTCATGCATTGGTCATCTCTGCTAAAAGGAGACGTGTTCAATTCCTTAACTGTCCATCCTCAAAACCGAACAGTGATTTAATGACAACACCCACTCGAAGCAGGATCGAGTGCTCTGTGATGTGCCTGAATGACCCACACTGTCTGTCAGCTTCCTTCTGCAAGACTAATGGTGCCTACACGTGTCAACTGAGTGGTTTTTACCCAGAGTGAGTGAGTGAGTTAATATGTAACGTCACATCGGCAATATTTCAGCCATATCGTGACGAGAACATTTGATATTGAAATGAAATATATGTATATTACAAAACACCTGCCGACGAAGAACAGTAAAAATACTAGATGATCACAGATATGAATATAAAACTAGTGAACAAAGCTAAAATAGTCAAATCAAAGAAGACAATACAATATAAAAATGGGCTATAGATCGCCAACAACTGAAGGTAGATCACCATACTAAGGCCCGTGGGGACTTACATTACTTTTGCTACCTGCATGGACCCTAGCTGGATTTACACCATCCCTTCAGCCATTGGCGTTTATACTGAGATTTAGCCTGACATTAAAATGACAAAAATACTACGATTAAAAACCTGGTAGACTGAAATTTACTTGAAATGTTTTGGGACTTACGTACCCTCTCAGGAGGACAATAATTTTACGGTACTTCAACCCCCCTTGAGGGCACAGTCACTAACAATCTAAGTTTACAATCTAAACTACCAACCATTAAAATACATCTACTTACAGAGCATATTAATCAAAAATCAGTAATCAAATCAATTTCTTTTAAAAAAACCAAGAATTAAATGAACATGAACAGTGTTAAAAAGATCCTTAACAGTTTTAACATTAAAATATTTATCCCTTATGATGGAGAATTCGACACAGTCAAGCAGGAGATGCTTGACTGTGACTCTCTCATCACAAGGGATACCACAAGAAAAAAAATGGTGATTTCCAAAAATTTCCAATTTGGAAATATCATCTTTCCAAAAATTTCCAAAATTGGAAAGATGATATTTCCAAGGTTTGGAAATTTTTGTGGAAATTTAGGAAGGATTTTACCACTACTTCTTTCAGTTTATCCTTTTCCCAAGGATCCCCGTGAGTGTATAGACTGTGTATTCGTCCTCCTAGGAGTGTATTCGTCCTCCTATGCGAGCAACTATAACCAGGGA